AAAAGTAGAATTCCGTTAAGTGAGAGACACAATGTAATATATAGCATTGAATGTGATGGAACAAAAGACGAAAAATGTGGAAAAATATATGTTGGTACCACAAAAAACAAATTAAAAACTAGAATATCGGGACATAAATCAGACATTAAATTAAGGAGCCAAAACAATATTCAAAAAACAGCACTTGCGGAACACTGTAAACTTAACAACCACATACCAAACTTTGACAAAATACGAGTATTACAGGCGGAGAACAACTACAACAGAAGGTTAACATTGGAGATGCTGCATATAAATAACATACCAACAAACAAAAAGATCAATTACAAAAGCGACACCGATAATGCAGCTTATTGTTATCGACACTTGACAAAGAAGAGATCGTGCAATACGTAGAAATAATCAGTGCAATAATAACACCAGACAATGGTAGTAAAAACTACATTAGCTGTTAAGTAAATCTGACAATTTTATGTAAATGTAAGAAATCTCTTTTTTGGAAAATAATTGTGCCCATAACAAAATGCTGTGATACTAATAATTATGTTTTCTAAAATAGATTGCCCCTGAAGATGCAATTTGATAATTGCGAAATATTGGGAACATATTATTGTAATCAATAAAATAAATCCGAAAATGGCCTAAAGCTCGAAAAAATCTTATTATTTATAAATCAAATAAAAAGGCCGATAAACAACCATTTCTCAAGTTTTTTAACTTTACATTTCTGATTGATTTTTTATACAATTTTACTAGAAATATCTCAAGATATCACATATCGTCAAGGTTAAAAATACATATTCTAATCAGGAATCAACTATTTTTGCCACTTACAATTTTTTTTTTTTTTTTTTTTTGATAATATGAAATAATTTTGAACTGATACGCAAGAAAATTATGTCAAAATCTAGAAAACTAAAAATACTTGGAGTGACGTTAAGTTTTTTAAGTTTACATTTCTGATTGATTTTTTACACAATTTTACTAGAAATACCTTAAGATATCACATGGTGGAAATATATTGAACTGTTTTGTAACAGAATTTCATAATCAAAATATTGCCAAATTTTGGAGGCTATTCCTAATGAAAGGATGGTATTCATCATTGGTGTGATATTTTCAAAAGTGGAGATTATTTACCGAAAGCATTCTGTTGTTTTGAAAATTTGGCCCAATACTCACGAAATTTTGTATAGAGCCGCAATTAGGATTAGAATAGAAGCGTATTATATTTAGGGATGAAAGAAAAATACTTAAAGATTGAAATGGACAAAAAACAGAAAAGTTTCTTGATTTTGTAATTACTCTAAAGGTCACTATTAAAGACCAATCGAATTTTGTATGGAGCTAAGGTTTAGGGGTGGACAGAGGCCTTCTAATTCGCATGTTCATCGAAAACAATTAGCGTGTGAAATAGACCATAACGTTTATGTAAAAATATGAAAATCATTAATCCGCTAATATTTTCAATACCAGCGATATCACAATTAAACAAGAGGGTCTGACGGATACATTGGTTATGATATCCAAATTATAGCATGTGTAGCTAAATATATACATATAGAAAACTCGCTTAAAAAGATGCCAATAAAAATGCGAACATATTTTTTTTAATATTTTGTCCCTTTTTTTTGGATGACAGTTTTTAAATTTGATTTAAATTTTCACCTTGCCATACTTGTATTGGGGTATAATATTCAGGTTTCACTCATTGTCCGATCTTCACAAAATTTTGCATGATAATAGACTTAGGACCAGAACAGAAACCTATTGTTTGTTTTAGATTTTGAAGTCGTCCTACAGTTCTCATCTAAGGACCAATAGACATTTAGTTTTTTATAAGGTAACAGTTTATGAAATTAAGCATTTTGGATGGTCATCAAACACCAACATTTTTTGTAAAAATTAACAGAAATGCATGAAAGGCGCAAATCCTTCGAATATTTGCATGACTTCGTGGTTTCGGTCAAAAGCCAAGAAAAAACTTTTTCAGGACATTATTTTAAGAATGTAATTAAATTAAATTGTTCAAAATACACGGAACAAATTTTTTGAATGTTAACGTAGTAGGAACGTCGCTTCGTCATATAACGATGTTTTTTTTTTTTTTTTAAATCGTATATTTTTGGGAATTATTGGTTTCAGATCAATGATGATTTTTTGAAAAGAGGAGCAATTAGGTCATACATTTGCTTTTATTAAGTAGTAGATATGAGGATGTTTCTTATGGGGAATCGTCATTCTAATCGAACGGAAATTTTACTGCATATTGCTCTACTGGAAGAACTTACTGAATAAAATTTAGTTTTCACCCTTAGCTATATGACGTTTTAGGACATTTAGAGTAGATACAGGGCTGTCTGTCCATCCGTCTGTCTTTTCGCCTAGTTGGTGCGCACGATAAATCTCGAAGAGAGTATCCTTCTTTGATCCAAACTTGGTACATCGTAATATTATTGTCAAGCTTAGATCGAGTTCGGAGATGGGCAATAGCACTCCTTCTGCTACCTCCCACACATAAGATCAACATATTCACAAAAAATAATTTACCTTAAAAATAATTCACCATATCAAAAGAAGAAGCACATGGTTTTTTTTTGGAAAATCAATAGAGCGGAAGATTTCTTCTTTGAGATGTTATTGTTGTTACTGCAGTATTATATGGATTTTTAATCTGCTTATCTGGTTATGCTTGAATATCCATGTTTAGAAATGTAGTTACTGTTATGGACTGTAGCCAAAGATCATCAGTAGTGAGTTGGGTTGGCTTGTCAGGGCAATTGAAAAGATGCAGCGTGCCAGCAAACCCAAATGTTTGCTTCAGTGCTAAGTGGGGTGCGAAAATGGGCACTCCATCATGTACATCCCCTATAAATGGTTAACATTTTGAATAATTATAACTATCATAAAATTGGAAATAAGCGTCCGATTTTCTTAAAATTTCACACATCACAATATTTTTATTAACGCAAGATATGGTGTGAAGATGATATGTATATAATGACAAATCATTTGGCATTACCTACATAATTTTTTCGGTGTAATTATGACTCTCATAAAATGTGAAATTAACATCCAATTCTCTTAAAATTTCACACATCCCAAGATCTGGTGTAAAGATGATAGATAATGGCTTAATCCTTTTGGTACCTTTCCGACAAAGGGTCACAATTTTTAATATTTATATCTCTTACAAACTTGCGAAGAAAATAAGCAAATCTTATAAGTATCTATTAGAGATCTGATGTGAATATGTAATTTATCGAATGATTTATTCTCGTACCTCCACCACAAAAAGGTTAAAAATATGATTAACAACTATTCCCAAAAAATTGGCTATATAGGTCGGATTCTCTTCAAATTTTGTGCATCCCAATATTTTCTGTCAGTATTAAATGAAGTGGAACATTTTGGTCCACTATATCTGGTACTTCACACATAACCAAACATGATCAGATGTCGTCCAAATTGGACACGATGTATCAGAGTTAGTTCAGATGAGAAGTGGATAAAATTGGTCCACTTCTTTTGTATATCCTCCATAAATTGTAAATTTTGTAATAATCATAATGTAAGTCAAAATGATAAATAAAAATAAAAAAGTAAGCAAAGGCAATAGTTGAGGGGCCGACCATGTGATACCCTACAACATCACAATATGTTAAAAGCCCCCTAATGTCCATATCCATTTTGAAAGATTTCGCTTTTGAAATTGTTTCATAGAGCACTGCCCAGATATAACCCTTAACATTTTGACCAAATACATTTGACCAATATTTACGCACACCGTCTTGCTGTTAGTTGGTGTGGTCCATTTTAGAGCTAAATATAAATATCCAATGGTCATCCAAAAAGTTAAACTTCTTCGATGTCCCTAACTCTCTTCTCAGGCAAAATACTGTGTCGATTGGTTTCAATTGTGTGATCAGGAAATTTTTTCTCTTTTTGTTTCATATGTATCCCTAAATATTTTGCGATAGTCTCCAGAAGTTCGCCTTTTGTGTATTTTGGATTTCGCCTGGAAGTTATTCAGCGTTTCGATAGAATGGAAATGTCGGTATTTTTTTCACACAAAAGTAGTGGGTCATTCTACCCGCTGTCCTAAACTCTAACTTCATGCGAGATTTCGTGTCCTTTGGTTTCTATTTGTGACCTTTATAATGGTTGCAAAATCGGGAAGATTTTTAGTTTCAACCCCTAAATATATTGCCCATCTGATCCTGATTATGAAAATTTTCGTAAGTAGGGGATGATAATTGCAATCTGTATATAATAAACACAACCTATTTTGTAAGGTGAAAAGATGAAAAGGTCAACCCCTAAATACCATCTCCAAAAGCAATAGGCTTCTATTCTAACCATAGTCCCACCTCCATTTTCAATTTCGTGAGGATCGGGCTATAATTGCGACCTGTAGCGTGATTATAAATTAGCATGAACAGATAGGAAGATCCATATATACTTTCCTATGTGGGAAAAAAATATTTCGAGGTGTTACATAATTTTTGGCCCATTCAAACTTATAATACCCTCAACACAAATTGTTGTAGGGTATAAAAAGAAAAGACTTTAAATTTACTTGAGTTCACATCTCTCCATATTAAGAAGGAAATCCCGTATTATTCTTCTCGATTTGTCGTAAATCGTTCACAAGAAATATTTCGCTTGTTCGGTTACTATGAGTTTTGGATCTGTAGCAATAAACGTTCAACATAGAGTGTGTCAACCAAATTTTATGTTCACAAATACACTTCAATTTCAAAAAGTAAAAAATTCGAAGTGGTGTAAATATTCGTATAGTATTCACCTATCCTGATGGAAAACGTAACGGATTTTCTATTCCATCTGAATATTTCCAGTGTTTTAAAAAATTTCATCTTTAGCATCTTTTTGTATCTACAGGTAAATCCCAGCGAATGAGTTACATCACTCATACGCTCCCCCGAAGACAAACGGTTGTAAATAAAACACACTTGTTGTAAATTTCACATTAATTTTGTTGTTGTTTTCTTTATTATTATTATTAAATTAAAATTAAATTTAATAAAATTAATTGATTTATTTATTTAGTAGTTTTTTGTTATGCTTAAATTAACGTTTTTCTTGTCAATTGATTTGAATACTTGCAGTAAATTTATGTATTTATTTAGAGAATAAACAATTGTGTTCATTTCAATGAAATTTCATGTTTTTTATTGTTTTAGTTAATATTTATATATATAGCAGAGAGAGGGGGAAATAAATGATGTTTGGTAATAGTTGTAATGATAATAAAATGCTATTTTAATTAATACTTATTAACTACTTAATGTGATAATTGCGATGCATTAAAATGTTTGTATGTATTTATGTGTGTATAACTATGTATGCTACATATTTTATGTCAAAGTGTTAGTTCATGGTTTTGCGTGTGTGTGTGTATATATAGTAAGAATTAATAATGTTTGCATATAAACACGTTTAATATACAAATTACACATAATGTGAAATTGCTAGTTTTTTATTCAATTTTTGTAATAAATTTAAAAAGTTTTGAAAATCATAATAAAACAATAGGAAACAAAACAATGTTTTTTTTTTAAATTTCTTTCAAACCTCTTAAAAATGTGTCCTAAAAATAAGTAGGCATTAAATACCAAATATGGAAAAAATATTTGAAATTTTTTAGAAAAATTATTGTTTTAATTGAAGTAAAAGAAATTTAAATAAATGTTTCTAATTGCATATGAGGGTATGTATAATTTTTAAATTATATATTATTTTATGCTCATTCTATCTATAACAAAAAAAAACTTAAAAACAAATAAGGCAAAGTTGTTTTTTCTTTTCTTTTTTTATAAAAATACTTAAAATTAAAATTATACAAATATGAAGTTTATATTAAAAATTATTAATTTTTTTACTAATAAAAATATAGTAAAATTATAATGAAATGCCATCTTTGGTAACTTAATTCATTTATTTGCTACATATTCATTAATTGTTTTATTTTGCATGCTAAAAAATTAATTATTTATGCTGCATAGCTTAAACTGGGTCTGTTAAGTGGTCATGTTTTAGTTTATTATTTAAATAATATTTTTTTTTTCGAAATTTTTGTTTATTATAATTTTAAGTTTGCATGCAATGTTATTTGTCGTTTTTCTTTTGTTTCTATTTCAATAAATTTTAGACCTAAAAAATTTAATTTTGTTTTAACAATTCTACATAGTTTTTAATTAATTACTATCGAAATTGGCTGGAATTTCTTTACAGTAGTTTTTGTGTGTTTTTTAATATTTTATATCGACGAAAATTAGTTTCTTTTATAAATTACAAAAGGGAAATAATTGATATGGTTTTTTTTGTAATTTTATTTTATTTATAACTTCTTGTTGTTATTTAATATAAACAATATTGCCTTTTTAGAGTTGTTTTTTTTTTTTTTCTTTTCAAACATTTCTTTAATCACGTTCATCGTATTTATGTACAAAGGAATTCAAACCTGCCAGCTGGGAACATTGATTGGTATCGTACAGCGACATTTTGAGACGTTTACATTTGGCCCGACGATTTTTGAACCAGAATTGAACATTTTTACTCTCCAAACGGGGGAACTTTTGTCTGCAAAGAAAACGAATAAAAGAGAAAAGGGGTTTAGTAAAAAAAAAATTCTACGAATGCGACTCAATTTCCAATATTTAAAGGCTTTGTTAACAATTATAAATAAAACAATAATATTCTATTTTGGAAATAAATTGGAGTGCCTAAAAGTATACTCTTAAAAGACATTATTATGAGAAGTTTATTAAGGCTGGATTACACATGATGTTAGAGTCATATGCAAATTGACAATTTTCAACTATTACATGTAGCATTTTAAGGCATACTTTTAGGCCGTCCACAGAAATTTAAATATAGCTATTTAACAAGTATCAGTCGAGAGATGTATACCCTCAAAAAATGTCCGCTTGCTTCTTTTTTCAAACTCTTGATTCTTTGTGGGGATTTTCCGAAGGAGTGTCCACTTCGTATTTAAGTTAAAAGAGATATAAGTATTGAAAATTGTGACCCTTTGTGGGGAAGTTACCAGAAGGGCAGGATCATCTACACACCATATCTTTAATTGGAACAGACATTGAAATTTTAAACCCTTTGTAGGGGAGGTACCAGATGTAGTCGTCCCATATACTTCATTCTCACACCTGATCTTTTGTTGATAGATATATTTCGATGTGCTTGGTTTGAAAGAAGTCAGACGCTCATTTTGCGTTCTAAATTAAATGTTTAAAATGTTGACCCATTGTGGGGAAGGTACCAGAAGAATTGGACTGATATATCCCATATTCCCACCACTTCTTGTGTTGATAAATCCTCGTTTTCCATTTAATGATTATCCAAAATTTTGACCATTTTTCGGGGAGATGTTTGATCGAATTGGTCAATATTGTCCTTTTTCACTCCTTACCTACCACAGATAAAAATATTAGGATTTACATATTTTGGACAAAATTGTGTGATCTTTTTGTTCTATAAAGTAAATTATTTCCTGTGAAAATTTAGACTTTTGTGGGGGAGGTACCAAGAATAAGATCGATATACCCAAATTTTGATAATAATATTACGATGTACCAAGTTTGGACCAAATGGGATGCTGCCTTCGAGAGTTATAATGGACACCAGACATATGGACGGATTGACAGACGGACTCCCAAAAGTCCTAAAACGGATTTGGTCCAAAAAGTCCTAGGGACTATAACCGTTATTTCGATGAGGCACGTCTTAGCCGTATCAGGCACGTCTTAGCCCTCTATGGCCAGAGTAAGGATTTCATTTAGTATTGATTAGATTTCAAGTTAAATTTTTTTTTGAAACTCCTTAAAATATGCTATGAAAATGTGAAAAATAAATTATGAAACAGTCGGTTTACACATGACTATAACGTCATGTGTAATCGGACATTTAAGAAAAAAAAATTGGAAAGGAGACACAATTGAAATATATACTTGTCCAACATGATTCAAGCAACGACATGTTTGATATTTTTGGGACCCTGTGCTTCTGTTTCTTTTCTCCCACAAAACTCCTCTTAGAACTTCAACAATTATACCCCAAAACTTAAAAATAAAAAATTTAATTTTTCATTTCCCTCACTCACCTATAGGGCATTGTGTTCAAATCCTCCGTATACTTTAAGATCAGACTATGCGATGGATGTGTGTTCATGGCGAACCACTGCTCCAACTTTGGCACCTCTGTAACGGGATCGATGAATGTACGATTTCGTTTACGTCTCTCCTCCGATGAGATATTCGAGAGATTGAGACCACCGCCCGGCATTAGGGAGTTGGCTTGCATACCAGCTGCGGCGGCAGCAGCCGCGGCGTGATGGGCTGCTGCAGCATGGGGATGTCCTGCAGCGGCGGCGGCAGCTGCCTGACCAAAACCTGGCATATAATGACTCATGTACATGAAGGATTGCGAGAACATATTATTTGGCACCATTGGAAATGGTAGATCTTTGCGTTGGGCCGCCAGCATGGCATTGTTCATGTCCGGCGAGGGTGAACGAAAATCGTGCAAACGACTGGCATCATTGTCATCATCATCGTCGTCATCGTCCATATCGAGATCTTCATCGTCCTCCTTGGAAGAGCTTGGTTTGGGCGAAGAGGGCCGTGAATTGTTGTGGGAATTATCCAATGACTGATTGTTGTTGCTGCCACTGTTGTTGTTCAGAGAATTGGACGAATTGTTGTTGGTCTCATTTTCATCGCGTTGCTCCTCACCATCACCATTGTTGTGTGCAGCCTCCGTCGAAGCATTGCCTCCCTCATCATTACTGTGTTTCTCTTTAGTCATGTTATTGGCGTCATATTTCTCCCGCTCCTCAAATGACCGCGAATGAGAGCGTTCATTTTGTGATTCATTGAGATTATCGGGTTTCACTTCAATATCAGCATTCATGGGTGAAATGTGTTGATTATCATTGTGGCCCTCTTTGTTGTCATTCGCCTCGTTATCGTTTTGATGCCGCTCATGGATGGTTAGCGAGAGTGGCAATTGGGGAGAGTTGGGACGACTTTGATCATCATCCAAATCATCTGAATGCTGGGACATGGTATCAATATCTTCGGATTTTAAACTCAAGGGACTTTTCATAAAGTCATTGGACAGCGATAAGTTGCCCATGCTGGAACCCATAATCTGTTGTTGGCTGCTCATGCTACCGGTACTGCTGCCACCCGACGTCTGGCCCAGCTGACTGTGTTGACCCAAATAACCATTCATGGCCGCCTGCATGGCCCCGAAACCACCACGCATTTCGGCACGTTTCTGGGCTGCCCGGGCATTCTTAAACCAATACACCACATTGTTGACATCCAAAGGCTTGCGACCGCGACGTGATTCCAAGGCATTTAGCTGTACCACATAGGCCTGGATTTGTTGCCTTGAGGGATGGGGATTTTCTTGAAACCATTTCTGTAGACGTGGCAATTCCATTTCAGGATCGAAACTTGTGCGCATGCGTGTCTTTTGATTGGAAAACTGTGAATGCGACAGACTGGCATGATGATGCATGCTGGCATGCATGGCAGGATGTACCATCATATTGGCATGATGTGATGTCGGAGTGCCGGGCAGGACAGCCGATGTGTGATGACTATTTGAATCGTTTAGCAACAAAGATTCACGCGATGCACTAATGCTTGTGGGAACATTGCTACCCACCGCTGTCGAGGCGGCATGAAGACCAGCTTGTGCCGCAGCGGCGGCAGCTGCTGCTGCGGCCAGCGCTGCAGTACCCATATTGTGTTCCATTTCATTGTTAACACCCGCCGGCGGGGCACCCATGAAGGGCAATAGTTTTGGTGTCATCGAGGCCTGGGGTGATAGTTGATTCGACCACCATTGATCGAATTTGCGACGCAACTCTTCGGGTATATCGCCGCCGGGAAATGCAAAGGGATTCTGGTATGAACTGCGGCATATTTGTGAGAGGGTGACCTGGAAGGAAGAGAACGAAAACAAACAAATTAATTGAATGTGCTGGTCCAACATGGGCATTATGTCCGGTGACTTGTCCGTAAATTTATTTTAAAAATTTCGAAGACTCTAAAGGTCTTCTCTATGAGGGGTACATCGACCCAAATAGGAAAATTGAATTCAGCGCTAAAGCCATCATACGACAGTAATCCTAGATTTAAGGTATTTTGATTCCTTTTAAACCTTACGGTTGATGGTATAAAAAGCTTGGACTGATCGAAACCCACTGTCGTCCTAAGTTATTTTTTCTTTGAGTTCAACTAAATTAAGTTTTCATATTCTCTGACCATAAGTTCGAAAATATCAGTCGGTTTTGCCGACAGATGTATGTAATCAATGTCCGTATATCGAAATAAATTTTGATTTGGACCAATATTTTCCATTCCGCATCTGATCTTAGTCAGATATAAATATGATAAAGTGCCTGATTTTGACCACATCTACTAATTTCTTCATTCTATATGAGTTGCGTAAGGTTCCAGATATATGTGTGTGAGGTTCCAGACATAGTGGACCGATGTATTCCACTTCGTATAATAATAACAAAAATATTGGATGTAAAATGTAATTTCCCACTTTTTTTTGCGAATAGTTTTTAATCAAAATTTTAACCTGGAGATAATTTTAAACTGAAGCAGTGGATCGATATATTCCATCTTCACACCATATCTTGTGTTAATAAATGTATTAATATGTGTGAGAATTGACGAGAATCGGATGCTAATTTCGCATTTTATGAGAGATATAAATATTAAAAATATGGACCTGTTGTGGGGAGGTACCAGAAGAAGTGGACTGATATATTAAATCTTTACCCAAGATATTATGTTGATAGGAATATTGGGATGTGCCTAGTTTCAAAGAAACCGGATGCTCATTTCACGTTATATGAGCTGCATGGTTTTTCAAAATTTTGACCGGTTGTGGGGAAAGTACCAGAGGTAGTACTCTTTTCTATCCGTTAAAAGAGTTATAATTATTCAAAATTTGACCCTTTGTGTGGGAGGTACCAGAAGGAGTGGTCCGATATATTCCATCTTCCCACCTGGTCTTGTGTTGATAGAAATCTTAGGATGTGCCAAGTTTGAGAACAATCGAATGCTCATTTTGCTTTTTATGAGCTTCATGGTTATTCAAGATGTTGATCCCTTTGTGAGAGAGGTACCAGAAGGAATGATATGATATATTTCATTTTTACAGAAGATATTTTGTTAGTAAAAATATTGCGATGTGCCGATTTTCAATGAAATCGGATGCTCATTTTTCTTTTTATGAGCTTTACAGTTATTCAAAAATTTGACCCGTTGTGGAGGAGGTAACGGAAAGACTAGTCTGATACACTCCAAATTTTCACATGATCTTGTGTTCATAGAAATATTGGAATGTGTGAAATTTAAAGAGCATCGGTTGTTTATTACGCGTTTTATAAGAGTTATAATTATTTTAAATTTTAACCCTTTGTGGGGGAGGTACATTATGGAGTGGGCCGATATTGTCCTTTTTCGCACCTATCCTAGCGTTGATGAAAATATTAGGATTTGCAAATTTTGCAAAAAAAATTGAAGATATTTTCTTGTTTTATGGGGCATTTTTTCCCGGTCGATCGACTCTAAACGGATTTGATCCAAAGTGACCTAGGGTCTAAAACCGTTGTTTCGATGAGGCACGTTTTGGCCGTATCAAATGAAATATACCCGCTGAGGCCAAATGACTGAGGGCATAAAAATTCCATATTGGTATTCTATTTGAATTCTGTATTGAACTTTTAATGATTTTATAATCCAAAGCGTAATCGTCGGTATTATGACATTCTATAAATGATTACTTTTTGCAATTATGGAATATTTTTTTGATAAAAAAAATTGATTGATATCTATGTCGAAAAAGAAAAATAAATGATTCCTCCTTTAATTTTGAATCATAGTTGTCATGCTGACGCAGTCGCTTCCATATGACGCCATAAAATTGATAATTCTTTAATACCAGACAATTGTAAATCACCCGCTTAACCAAAGTGTTAACGTGAAAAAAGTCCCTCAACCAACCAATATGAAAAAAATAAAAATAAATAATAATTACTCATGTGATGAACCAAGTGAATACTTAAAAATTATCTCTAACGATTTGCACTAGTTTTCAATAATGTTTATTTATTTACATTTTTTTTTAATTTTCAAAAATAAATAAATTTTGTTTTATTTGCTGTCTTAAAAGCTAATATCATCATTTGGAAAGCAAAATAAATTCACATTAATTATAAATCACATACGAAAAGTGTTATTGCACGTATCACCACGACCACCACTCATCACCCTTGTGAGTTAATCACTTGGGCGTCAATTGCATATTACCTTAGAAATCCCCAACGGACACCCCCACCTACCTCCCCTCTTCTATCACAAAGTAATTACGTGTCACTGAATTATTTTTAGTGTTTATTGTCATTTAGCGAGGGGTATTTTAAGTGATTTTTCGAAAAAATATACCATCCAAAGCCCTCCTGATATCCGCTAAGTAGTTTACTATTCAATTTCCACATATATCTGATTCTCCATGTGTAATATGTCGAATTTGATAACATTCTTATCTCGCCCACCACAAAGTGATTACAAATTGAAAAAGCAGACACCAAAAAAAAAAAAAAAAAAAAAAAAAAAAAAAACAAATCACAACACCGCCAACCATAAAACGGAATCGTTAATCTCTATATCTATTTTGTTAAATCACAGTTCAAATCCACATAAACTCTTGTTAACACTTGGCGGAGTCTTCTTATCGATATTTATGACGGTTGTTGAGAATGCACTCGGGAAAACAACACTTCATACTGTTGTTTTGTAGTGGGCTAAAAAAAGTGTAAACGCAAGGGGTGGAGAGACAGAAAGAGCTAATATTGGCCTCGGAGTTAACAAAGGTGAATCCATAGCAGCGTATACAATGTAGATGTATTGTATGACATGGTAAGGTGCAACATAGTTTGATATGGCATGACACAATATGACATTACATTACAAAGTTTCTTAAGAGCTTCAATCGTAATTTTTTGCGAATATTTTTGAAAGGAAAATGGATTTTCAGAAATATTTTTTTTAGATTCTTCAGCATTTTAGTTATAGATTTGATGGGGAAAAATTGTTGAGCAATTAATCGAAAACAGTACAATTGTATTGAAAAGTCTGTAGAGCTTTTCAATAATAAGAAGAAAAGTTCTATGGATACATGAAAATTGCTTATTTTTAAAGAATATTTTAGAGATTTTAGATTAAGATAAAGTTTACTCAAGGACCCTGAGGCCACAAACGTGCACTTTAGTATATTTTTTCACACTGAACCTGAAAGCAACAACACTGATTATTATTTCCCAAGACAAAAGAGTTTTAATTGCGAACTCTTGTACATATTTTCTAAGGATTCAAGGATCCAAGCTTCAATGATGCATTTTTGATGATATTTTTTCAAGGATAATCCTCATCATGGTATGACATATGGTGCCCTCGAGGGCACAATTATTTCTAACCATGAAAAATCATATCTACATTAGGCGATAGACGTCTTCACAGGACATTCGGTCTGGAAAAAAACTAAATGGAACACTTCTAATGACGATCGCGGCAGGATATGATAGAAAGAGGATGCAACTACAACGGTAGATTTTTTTGTGTGAAAAAGCAGCCAAATGGTGATAAACCTAGAAGTCATATAATATTATTTGAGACGCAAAAGAACTACATTTAAAAAAAAAAATTAATGTTTTTTTCTCAATTTTTTTTTTTTTAAGAAAGGTAATTTAAGCTCAGATTTTTTCCAGAGAAAATATAACTTTGTCTGCAATTTTTAAAAATATTTTGGATACTTAAAATTTGGTTGATTTATTAACCAATTAATAATTATAAGAATATTTTTTAATAATATTTTATTTTAATATTTTAATTATTATAAGAATATTTTTCCACAAATTTAACACAAGATTTATTTATATTATATTTTAAGGACCAGGTTTATAGTCGTGATTTTTTTTTCTTTTTGTAGGACAGTCAGAGCTATTATACTGTTTATACCCTACAACACTATGTGTTGGGGTATTATAAGTTTGATTGAGCCAACATAGGAAATTTATGGATCTTCCTAACTTGCCGTCCGTCTGTCCATATTAATTTGTAATCAAGCTACAGGTCGGAATTATGGGCCGACCCTCATGAAATTTAATATAGTGTTTTGTTAAAGGTCAGAATAGAAGCCTATTGTATTTGGAGATAATCGCAAAATATTTAGGGGTTTAAATTGACCAAAAATTGGAAATTTTCCTGATTTTCAATTGCTCTACAAGCCACAATTATAGACCAATCGACGCGGAAATTTTGCATGGACTTAGAGGTTAGGGCTGGGCTGAAGCCTACCAATTCGGATGATAATCTGACAATATTTAGCGGGTGAAATAGACCCTAACTTTTATGTAAGAAAATACGAAAGTTGTCAATTAACCGCGAATATCTTTAATCCTGGCGAAACCAGAAACACACGAAGAGGTCACTTCTGAACATTATGTTGACACTGATATCCAAATTATCGGATGTATAGCAAATTAGGTACAATATGTATGTAAAAGAAATTGATCTTAGTTAGTTCGCTTATAAGTCAAGAACCACTGGGCTGATTTTGACACTTTCCACCAATTCGAACTGGCCTGTTGCCAGAAAAATATAAAATCTCAGAAAATCGCGGAAAAATATGACAATAAAAACGTGAATATTTTTTGTTATTTTTTTATAATTTTTGGTCATATATTTTTTATCGCATACGATTTTTTCAATTTGACTTACAATTTTGAATTGTACATTTTGTAAAGTTACTTTTTTACACTCTACAACACTATGTATTGAGGGTATTATAATTGTGAGTTTCTTTTGAGTAATTTCACAAGAATTTTAATTATAGCCAAAATCGTAGATTTTAAAAAATAATTTGTCAAGATACAATCTTAGCCCTTTTTGAATAGTTTCTCAAACTATATTAGGGTTTTAATTGTGAATTTAGAGGTGATATCTGGATTTTTATTTTATTTTTTTTTTTAATGTAAGAAAAACCTGTCATTAAGTGTCTATGAACTTTTTAGAATATATTTAGGGACTATTTGACTTATGCTCGCATGTATAATTTTTCATGATAATCATCAAATAATCTGTATTGAAGCCTGTGTACATAATCAATCCACTTTTATGCATATGATGGTCCTTAAAAATTATCCCATGAAATAATCCACTACCATAGCTATCAGGTTCTTTAAAACTCTTCCATTAAATACAAATTGAAGAGCTCTATTTTTTTTTTTCAAAATTATAATGGTTTTCGGTAATATTTCACATTTTTGGTATGTTCCAGAACTGCAAGAATGTAGAAATGTTTTCTACGAGTAAATTCTTGCGGGCTCTGGAAAAGAACATTTTTCTCAACCTTTTTTAAAACTCAAATATATCAAATATCTCACATTCATTTTAGCCCTTGGAAACTAAAATCCTCCATCGATCATGCCACTCGGCATGTTTTCCGCCATATATCCCCCCATGACAAATACGTGCAGATTTTGATGTGTAGTAGCAGTATAAATCAACTGATATCGAGGCTTAACTGTGATTTTTGCCGTTGTTGTCCACAATATGGAGTTTTTTCCCCAACGATTTTTGCAATCGTTTACCACAACGCTCTAATACCTGTTGACAAAGCTTTAGTTGAACAAAACGGGAAAAAATAAGCGTTTAAAAACGCCAACAACAAGCAGTAGACCATACAAATAAATCCCACAGCCATATTTAATCTCTTTGCTAATAACTTGCCACATGATACAAAGATAAAGATACAAACGACATACGGAGGTGGCGGTGATGATGATAACGTGACAATTGTACACTCACTCACTCATACACAATTTCAGAATACTCAAAGCCAATGTCTTCTAAATACTTAACATTGGTGTGAAAGCTAAATCCCAAAAATCCATGGTCTGTTCGTTTTGTGAGTGTCTCCAAAGAAAATACATCACCTAGTAGACAATTGTTGTTAGTTTAACCCAACAACACTAACAATGTTGGCAATAACATTAATAATTGTCAACAACAATAATATGGAATAAAACAATTGACACCTTCTCAAAAGCTAAATTGACGCCATAAACAACAAATCACAGTTAACCATTGAACAGCATGTAATTGATTTCTTGTTGTTATTGGTGTTGTTTTTAGATTGGCAAACTATTTTCGTCTTCCATGGCCCATCATAAAATTCTCAAGTATGTGGGATCCCCAAAAGTCATAAAAAATAAATAAAGAAAACTATTATAGCAATTGGCAGTAGTTTAAGGAGAATTTAGTCTGTATCGTGGGAGTAGGAGCGTGCCTGCAGGTCATAAAAGTTGAAATGGGGAAATAAATTTTAAAAATTGAACTTAAATTAAAGGTTGAAGTTGGTATGGAGTTTGAAAGATGATTATAATGAATAGGGGATTTAATAAAAAGAAACATTGCAACACAAAAGAGAGAGAGTCTTAAATATTAAAAATTCTCAAATAATCAAAACAAAAGAAAATTGTAAAAAAGATGTAAGTTCGGCCTTTGAACACCCTCCACCATTTGGAACGAATTTGGCAATTTAAAAAAAAATCCTTTGAGAATCCTGTTAAAATCTTAAAAATTCCGAATGTAGCCGTTATATTAGGGTCTATACGGCGACGTAGGCCTGCATAGGCAACTTTTGTAATAAGCCATTACAATATTCAAATCACCAAAATACTGAATATCGGGAGGTACCATTATATGGGGATTATACGAAGACGTGGACCTGAACAGACAATCTCCTGTCATAGGCTTTAGCATGCATTACGAACATCAAATACCAAATTTGAAACAATTCCGGTGAATAATGTCGCTAAAATCACCAAAATACCGAATATCGGGAGGTACCGTTATATGGAGATTATACGAAGACGTGGACCTGTATAGACAATTTTCTGTCATAGGCTGTAGTATCCATTTCGAACTTCAAATACCAAATTTGAAACAATTCCGGCGAATAATGTCGCTAAAATCATCAAAATACCGAATATCGGGAGGTACCGTTATGTGGGGGCTATTCCAAAACGTATACCTACATGGCCCATTTTCAATACCAAAAGTCCTGCAGACATAATATAGATTTGAGTAAAATTTTATCAATCTACTTCATTTCGTTTGGAAGCTAGAGTGATTTCCACAGATAGACAGATGGGTAGACGGGCGGATAGACGGACGGACATCGCTAAATCGACATAGTATTTTATGCTGATCAAGAAAATATATACTTTGTGGGGTCTAAAATGTATATTTCGGGGTGTTAAAAACGGAATAATAAACTTAATATACCCTCCGTACAATTGTGGAGGGTATGAAAGATTGCAATACAAATGGTCAAGTACTTAAATGCAATCTAAAATTTTCTAAAATGTCTCAAATAATCAAAGAAAAAAAAAATCGAAAGACGAATATGGATTTCATAGAGCTGTTAAAAATTTTCTGATTCCCCCAAACCTGTTTGGTTGCAACATCTAAGTACTTTCCTCGGAAATGAACCATCATCTTTCTCAATTTAAGAGCTGTGGTATATTTTAAGATTTTTTGTTATTTCACTTCTGATTTCCCCAACCCACCCCAAATACTGAAAACTTTTCTTTTCGAACACAAAACAAAAGGCATAATTTATAAGATTTTAATTAGTAGGATAAAACTGTGTGTCTCCGTATTTTTATCGGGTGGTTTATAATCCTTAAAGTTGTCTTTGTGTGTGTGTGTGTGTGTGTGAGTGAGACATTTTTGTCATGTATGTGTGAAGGAGAACTTACCTCATCCAATGGACAACCGGTTGAACGTAAAACCGCATGTGATTGCAGAACCAAAAGCTTTAAAAGTTTATCCTTGATTTCACCAAATGGTGAGGGTTTACATCGCAAGATGACAATGCGCAGCGTTACCACCGACGTTAGTTCGCCAATAATATCGGAAACAGGAACTACAGGATTATCGGAAATATGCTCCAAGGGTATGGGCTTCCAGTTTTTTATTATTAAGGAACCTAGGGAAAATGACAAGAGAAAAAGGGGGAAGAGAGAAAATAAAGGAATCAAATTTTAATCCTATTTTCAAATTTTTAATATTTTGTGAAGAAAAATGAGTTTTTGAGAAAAAGGGAGAAGAATGAGGAAAACTCCCTCCCTCCTTTCTCCCTCATTATTTTTTCTCGCTAATTTTTTTTCATTTTGTTAAATTTTCTCTGCCTGCCCTACCTCTTGCCGTTGCTGCTGTCTCCTGGGAATAACCCAACCTTTGTAATGCTGTTTGTACTATCTCCGACCAGGGTGTGTTTGCCGCCACAATCACATAACTATCTGTCTCAACATTTGGCCTTCGTTTCCATGGACTTCGTTGATCTATGGTCAGAGATGCCTGCAATGAGTGCACCGACTCCACCACACAGTGTAATGGTAATGATTTTGCTGCAATTAAACAAAAGAAGAAAGTTTGTATTATATATAAAATTTATTGGGTCTTAAAAATAGATCTTCAAATAGAAAATTTAGATAAAAAAAACAAAATAATGAAATGTATTTTGAATTACATGTTTATCGTAATTCGAGAGTTTCATTTGAAACTCGTAATTATGCCCTACGACACTATGAGTTCGGGGTATTATAAATTTGATTGGGCCAACAATTATGTAACCCCTCGAAATATTGGTTTCCCATATAGGAAAGTATATATAGATCTTCCTATCTCGCCGAGCTGAGTCGATCTAGCTATGTGTGTCCGTCCGTCTGTTCGTCAGTCCATATTAATTTGTAATCAAGCTACAGGTCGAAATAATGGAAGAAGGGGTTAGGGTTAGAATAGGAACCCTGTTGTTTTTGGAGATGATCGCATAATATTTAGGAGTTGAAATGGACCAAAAACTGAAAAATTTCCTGATTTTGCAGTTGCTCTACAGGTCACAATTATAGAGGATGCAAGTGCTCTCTCTCCCTCTCAAAACTCCATTTCCTTTCCCTGCTTCATGTAGTCTCGAAGACAAAAATTCCCATTCCACAACTTAGAATATTTTTTTCAAAAATAATTTTTTTAAATTACATTAAAAATGATAAGGAACGCACACACACACACATGCACACTCAATTAAATCAGTAACCATTATCACATTACACTTCGCTTTTTGGCGCAACAGCACAAACAACAAAAACGCTGTCGCTATTGTAAAATCAATTTCAGTGGAAGCAAAAATTTGTTATGCACAAAAAGCTTTATAAAAATCACACAGGATTTTATGTGAATGAATTAAAAATCATGCAATTTATGACACAATGAGTGTGTGTGTGTGTGGATGTTTGAGTGCGTATGGAAATATAGTTATTATTATTGATTTACAACAAACAATGTCAAACGGATGTGGCATAGGGGGAGCGGGTGTAAGCAGTGTTAATGACAAGGATTAAACATAAAAGCGAGCGCGCGCACACACAGATATGTTTACGGAAAATCAAATAAATCAGCATCGGTGTAGTAGAAGTGGTGACAAACAAATGTTTTAAACATTAAAAAAATCGGGGGAAAGAAGGTGTGTAATTTTTTTAAGCTGAGTTCTTTTAGTAACGCGAATGAGGGATAATTTTAATTGTAATACCTTAATGATTTTGCCACAAAAAAAAAAAATCATAGTAATTATAATTGGATAAACGTTTAAAAAAAATTAAACGTGTGGGCATTCCAGGAGGAACCCGAGGACTTTATTTATTGACATTTTTTTTTTTAATTCGTTAAAAACAAAAAAAATTCAAAGACCTTAAGAAAGGAGTCATATGAAATTTCTACTTTAAGGGAAATTCAACAATAATATCAATTAAAGAAATTATATTTTCACGGACTTTTGAAAAAAAACAACAAATCAAGGATGGAATACAAAAATATTGTTCATCAAGTTGCATTATGAGTCAACAAAGGAAAGAAATGCCTACTTCCGCTGTACACCAAAAAAAAAAAAAAATTTGCATCAAAAAAAAATATTTTTTTTGTTTTTTTTTATAAATTTTCAATCGTCATTTTTATACCCTTCACCATTGTATGGATACTGTAACACCTCGAAATATACATTCTAGACCCCACAAAGTATATATATTCATGATCAGCATAAAATTCTATGTCCGTCTGTCCGTCTGGGGAAATCACCCTAGCTTCCGAACGAATTGAAGTACATTAATTAAATTTTACTCAAATTTATATTATGTCTTCAGGACTTCTGGTATTGAAAATGGGTCATGTAGGTCCACGTTTTGGCATAGCCCCCATATAACCGCACCTCTCGATATTCGGTATTTTAAAGATTTTAGCGACATTATTCACCGGAATTGTTTCAAATTTTGCAATTGAAGTTCGAAATGGATACTACAGCCTAAGGCAGAAAATTGTCTTTGCAGTTCCACGTCTTGGTATAGACCGCATATAACGATACCCCCGGATATTCGGTTCTTTGTTGATTCTAGCGACATTATTCACCGTAGTTATTTCAAATTTGGTACTTGAAATTTGAAATAAATGCTGCGACCTATAACAGAAAGTTGTCTGTGCAGATCCACGTCTTGGTATAGCCCCCATATAATGGTACCTCCCGATATTCGGTATTTTGAGGATTTTAGCGATATTATTCGCCGGAATTATTTAAAATTTGGTATTTGAAGTTCGTAATGGATACTACAGCCTAAGTCAGAAAATTGTCTGTGTAGGTCCACGTCTTCGTATAGCCTCCATATAACGGTACCTCCCGATATTCCGTATTATCATCATTTTAGCTACATTATTCACAGAATTTTTTTTAAGTTCTGCATTTGAATATTGTAATGGCTTATGACAAGAGTTACCTATGCAGGTCCATGTCGTCGTATAGACCCTAATTTAACAGCTACATTCGTTATATTTAATATTTCAACAGAACTTTTAACGGATTTTATTGTTTTTGAGAAGTGCGAAATTCGTTCCAAATGGTGGAGGGTATTCAAAGTTCCACCCGGCCAAATTTACAGCTTTTTTACTTGTTTCATGTCAAAATACAAAATATTCTTCACAAAATTCCACTATAAATCTCAGAACAGACCCTATTAAAAAAACAAGTGAAAAATATGTGTTTGCTTTTTTAGAACTAATTTAACCTGTTTTAAAATCAAGTCAAAATCTCCCTTTATACTTCATTTTATGGAAAAAGTGTCAAAGTATAGATTATTCTATATCAAATTTCATTACGAGTCTCTGAACGCAAGAAAATTGTATATTCAATGTGTACCATGGAAAAATATCATCAATTTTTGTTAATAAATAACCTTGTTTATTAAAAAAAAACAAGCCAACAATGTTCCAAAAAATGAGCACTTTTCCAAATTTGCTTCAAATTTTCTTATAATATCACTGTCTAATAGAAAGTCTGGGTTCGGGAAAATACCAAGTGGATTTGCTACAACCTCTTCTTTAAGATCAAAACCTTGAAAAATTCAGGTTCTTAGGTCTAACGTTGTTAATGACTCTATATAGTTTTGGCCATATACAAATCTTACAGAGATCTTTGGATTACATCGTAAATCATTGTTACGAAAAAAAATGGGTCAAATCGGACCACTTTTTGGAAGTGTTTCCTTGCAAGTATTTGTTTTGCATTTTGACCATGTTTTTCATTTGTTTTCGCACAATAATTAATTAATTTTCATTTTTATACTAATTAACTATTCTCTATGAGAATCTCTCGAAAACCAGAGTAAATAGCTGCAATCTGTCCAAATGTTTAGGTTGAGAATACCGAAGTACTTAGGAAGTTACCTATATTTTAAAAAGTAAAAAAATTGTTGTATGGAACATAAAGTCATATTATTTTAAATCAAACTTTTCAAAACTTCACTTTCCCCTTGTATACATATCTGCCAAATTTCCAATCCATCAACAACAAAACTAATTCAAACAACGCATTTTCAAAACCATTATACCAACAAGCCATTTCAACCAAAAAACAAAAAATCTAACCAACACAACAATAACTTATATACCACATATACCGCCAACAACGTCATTATGTCCGACCACCACCACAGCACCGCATAATCATTAATTTCATCCGCTGGCCGGAAAAACCGTCATCACATCAACATGATTTGAGGTTAAAACAAAAGCGGATTTTTGCATTTAGAACATTATTTTTTTCGCATTGTTGTTGTTGGCTGTTCCACGACAATACTCCATATTTCCAGGCCTACAACAATATCCCATAAAAACAAGGCCGAAACCAAACATATGATTTTGATTTAGCCAGGGCTAGTGGGATTTCTGGGAAGGCAGGAGAGTGGAGGAGTTGATGTTGATGGCGGCTAAGTGAAAACAAAAATGTTTAGGGATTAAAACTAAAATGCATCATCAGCGTCATATTTTTAACGCCCAATGTGCGTTACACACCTACCATTTGCTGTGGTGTGGTGGGGGTGTTAGAGTGTGTAGAGGGCCTAACACATATTGGTGTCTTCTTTTTCGTTCGCCGAAATGCCAAATGTGCCAATGAATGTTTTAAATAATCAGCTTTTAGTGCGGTAGCACTAGTTGTCCATACGTCCCTCTCTCAGTCTGTCTGTCTGTCACTCAGTCATTCTATGCTTGCTGCCTCATTGGAAAAACAAAAATGCGCCATACCTTTCACCTCAACGAAATCCATATTGTTCAAATAGGTGTTACTGCCGCCATTTATTGTTCGCATGGAACTGGCGTGCCACTAAAGCGTTAAACAATTTATGGAATTCGCTGCTCTAAGAATTGAAAAAATGTGTATTTTTAAAATATTGTGTATTTTACATTTGCAGGGCAATCCATTCGCACAAATGACTTCATTTGTTGAATATAAATTTTACAGAGCCTACTGCCCTACGCTAGTGGCGGTGATAATTTCGGTTGTGGGTTCCAATGAAAAGGACGAAAAAAAAACAAGAATAATGCATCACCCATACAACAACAATAAAATCGTATAACAATATTGCTTAAAAGCGATTTATAATTGGAATAATTAATAATATTATTACCTGAGTTAAGCTTATTAGCATAAACTATGCGCATATGCATGTGGTGGCGTGTGTGGGCATGTAAAGTCCTGTAACAACACCACCAACACACATATCCATCATATATATTGAGAACAAAAAATAATAATGAAATAAGCTATCGCATATTACAGTAAGGGATATAACTGCCATCATAATATATTATGACGGGACGAAAAAGAAAAATATCCAAGTCAGTCTTTCAAAGCCGGCCATAAAGCTCAAATGTATTATAATACAGGGTGCGATGAAGAAACTGCAACCAACTTCAGACCGGTGTCATTTCTAAGCCACTCGTCCGACAGCTGTTAAAATTATTCCAGTGACGGCTCATTATATTGTTTACAAGCGTACAAATGCATTTTGGTGAGAATTTTACAGAATAA